AATCTTCATACTCTGATGACGGAGGCAGTATGACCTCTGAAACGTTGGTAAACATCGACCAGACTACACAGCGCAACAACCCAGAAGACAGAAATCTTCATACTCTGATGACGGAGGCAGTATGACCTCTGAAACGTTGGTAAACATCTACCAGACTACACAGAGCAACAACCCAGAAGACAGAAATCTTCATACTCTGACGACGGAGGCAGTATGACCTCTGAAACTTTGGTTAACATCGACCAGACTACACAGCGCAACAACCCAGAAGACAGAAATCTTCATACCCTGATGATGGAGGCAGTATGACCTCTGAAACGTTGGTAAACATCGACCAGACTACACAGCGCAATAACCCAGAAGACAGAAATCTTCATACTCTGATGACGTAGGCAGTATGACCTCTGAAACGTTGGTTAACATCGACCAGACTACACAGCGCAACTACCCAGAAGACTGCAATCTTCAGACACACCACTGTGAAAACCTCATATCTTACATTTCAAAGCTTGTTTCTTAAAGGAAAAGAGAGTGGGCTAAAAATGGAGCAGAAACCAATGGCTCAGCATATATCTGTGTCTTGATGTTCATGTACTGTTTGTGAGTGTGTAGAAATCAAATGTAGTCTAACCAGGGCCCATACACTCCACGCGACATTAAAATTAATGACACTTTTGTGAAAGCTAGGTGTGTATGAATTATTAACAATTATTTGTCTTTCAAATAAGTATCATACATTCTATATCAGGCCCGCCCAACCTGTTGCCCGCGGACACATTTGAAATAAGAAAACGTCTTTTAACCCTCTCACTGGCAAAGGCATGATAGAACGCCAAAGCAATTCCACCCGTTTCCTGGCAAACTACGAAAGAAAATATATTCCCAAGTGACCCTAACATAAAACCTTATAACTGTTTAATTTTAACCGTCTAATCACAATAAAATCTTTTATTAAATATTAAAATATTATTACTACAATTAACATTTAATATTTAAAATATATTAAAATGATGCTCTTTCTATCGAAATGTTCGATTTACAATTAGAGCATCAT